ACGCGTTGCCACGCGGTGGGGGCGATGGAGGAATACGACAGTGGATTGCCAATTGCTTGAAGAACATTGGGAACGTAATGGCTGCTAGCCGGCGCAACTGGAAGTCCCACTGTGCCGTGGTAGGCCGCTATGAACATAACACGCGATGTAAGAACTCACCACATAACGATGAGGCCAGCTCCGCTACCAAGCGAAAAGCGAAAGTCAGGAGGGGGTAAACCGAGACCCTGCTAAGGATGATGTCGTACACGTGTCACGGTACCCCATAGACTATCCCAGACTGGGGGGCAAGACGATAGACGAGAGACAAGGTATGAGATGAGAAGATGCACCATCGAAATTGGTGGACGCCTCCTTTTACCCGTCACTCATGTGCGATGGTACCTCGCTGACGCGATGTAGTCAAACAGGACAGCGCTGCCTTGAGCCAGACAGTGGCGGACGTAAGTAAGACGCTCGCTATGATCGTCTTTGTCCCGTTGGTTTTCCTTCTAAGTACTTTTTAGGCCCAAGAAGGGCCCAAGACGGGCCAAGAGGGCCCCGAGAGGCCCTCAAGGCAGTTCAAGATAGCCCCGAGTCGCCAGACGATCGCACCACGACGCCCAAGATGGTCCCAAGACGGCCCAAGAGGACTTGAAGACGCCCCAAGAAAAGCCCCAAGAGCCTTCCCAAGAGGGCCCCGCGAGGCCAGCAGCATCAGTGATTTTCCATACGAGCACCCGACGCTCCAGGACGACCCAGGAGGCCCACAGGACCGCCCTATGACGGCCCACCAGAAGGGCCAAACACACAGCCCAGGAGGGCTCGAAAACGGCCCCAGAAGCACCCAAGACGGCCCAAGAAGGCCCAAACGCAACCACAAGAAACTTCCAAGAGGGGGAACACGAACCGTAAATCAGAGTCCTCCGCCCCAAGAGGCCCCCAGGAGACCCCAAGGTGGCCCCAAGAGGCTACCAAGCGGCCCCAAAGACGCCCCAAGAAGCCCCAACAAGAGGTCTTACAACTGCCCCCAAACAAAAACCCAAGATGCCTCCCGCAACATCCCAACGAACATCATAGAGGCCTACGACACAAAAACCCAGGCACGGTGGCGGGATGGGCCGAAGGCCGTTAGACACGAAGCAAATACTGCTAGAAGAAGAATGCACAGCGCAGAGTTCAACGTGCAGAAAGCAGATAGCATAGAGAAGAACTCAAAGAGTGGAGGAGGCGAGAGGGTAGAGAATACAGGGCGGATGGTACAGATCAAATGTAGAGGAGGTATTGCAGAGAGATGGTATGGGTAGATAGTAAGGGATATAGAGTATGGAGGACAGTCATAACACAAAGAACTGCACTCGCCACCCGTTGGTATCGCCCACCACCAGCGCGCCGCCTTCGCAATCCGCGCACGCACAGCCGATCGGGGCTCTATCTGCCGTAGTCAGGCCGCCAAAATGTCAGGGGTGGAAAAACCAAAAGGTACCAATACTGCTAGTCCCTGGACCTCTCCCGGGGTGCGTTCTGACCAGAATTTCGAAGCGAATCCAGCGGTGGCGACGAAGGTGCCTCCCAGGGTCCCAGGAGGCCCACAAAACAGCGAAAACGAGGCAAGGGTAGCGGTACCGGTGCCTTTTCAACCTTCGAATGGGGAGGCCTCCGGAGGGTTCCAGGATGGCTCCAGGGGCCCCAGGGGCCTCCTCGGAGGGCTCCCGAGGCCTCTGGACCACTCTGCCCGCCAGTCGGAAGAAGTAGGTGGAAGCATGAAGCAGGAAGAGGGATAAAGTAGGAGGTAACGAGGGCCTCCCATGAGACCCCCAAAAAGTGGAAAAAGAGGCAAGAGAAGCGGTATGGGTACCTTTTCATCCTCTGAGTCTTTGGAGCTCTCCGAGGGTCTGGGGATGCCCCGAGGCCCGAAGAACAAGGGCAAAACGCCCTCGAGCCTCGAGGCCCGCTGCCCTCCCTCGAAGGCAGGAAAGCAGATTTGGTTCGGGCCCGCCCAGTGAATATCAAGCACGACAAAAGCATATCGATTCTTGAAGTAGGAAGGTGCTTGAAGTAGATAGGGACTTGGAACTCCAAAAATGACGACTTACTTTCAACGACTGGCGTGTAACGATGTTGATTGGAGAAGCCGCGCGAGAGGACACGAGACCCTTCCGAAGGCCACCTTGCCTTAGGAGTGCAGAAGGCATGGGTCGCGAAACACTGGACAAAAGGGTACGTCGACCTACTACAGCCTCGACTGTGCGCCCCTCCTGGACGCTGGCAGCCGACCCTTGCGCCACCCCCCTGCGGGCACAGCCAGGTACGCCTGGGGGAGGCGCCAACCTGCGAGGCTGGGCGCCGAGGCGGCCGCAGGTCGGGCCGCCCTCTGCTGGGCGTGGCTCGGCCGCCGCCGCCCGGAGCCGGGGTGCAGGGTCGACCTGCCAATCAACCACGACTGTAAGGGTGCCCCAGCACGCGCAGAACGTCCAGCGCTGCCCAAAATGCTTCGAGGAGCAGCAGCGGCAGCACAGCGCTCAGCGGGCGGCGGCGGCGTCGGCATCGCAGGCGCGGCCGTGGCAGGGAGCTCGCTCGGTTCCCCGCGCTTGAGCGGCCTGGTGCGCCCCGCCCCGTGGACGGAACCAGAGATCCGACGCTCCAAACAAACTTGGGACGGCGGGTTTTCGGCCTCCGGGGGCCCTCGCCTTGCCTCGGGACCGTCCAAAAACGAGTCGGGACGCAAAACTGGCCCTAGAGAAGTGGTCCAGACCCCTGGGGCCCACGCATCGGAAACATTGGAGCGGCTGGATGTCTCGGGAACCTGCGCTGGCGCAATCACTCGGCAGCGAAGGTCGGGGGCTCCACACGCCGAAGCGCGCTGGCGAAGCAGAAGGGAGGAAAGTCACGGACACGGGCCTGAAAAGTGCCGCCCCGTGGGTGCCTACGGTCACGTGCGCGATCACAGAGCAGCAGCAGCCTTTCCTGCTTGCACGCTGGTCGCATTGGCTCATCGTCTGCTCCTGGCACTGAACAAATAATCAGACATCAATTTCGAACTTCGTCCACGACTCACCTAAGAGGCTGCCAAAGACTTCCAAGAAGTCTTTAAGATGCCCCCGAGAGGTATCCCAAGGGACCCCGAGAAGTCTCCAGGATGCCACTGACCTACAAACCAGGCACGAAGGCAGGATGGGCCGGCGGTCACTAGATCTCTTATCAAGAATATATATGCTCTTGTTTCCCCATGCGGCACGGCTGGTGTGTATGCGTTTGAACGCCGCCGTCTGGTGCAAGCGACTCTGCGCACTGCCACAACCAAACACACACACACACACACACACACGCACACATACACACACATCGCACGAATGCACGCACGCACGCACACACACACAAACACACACACACACGCACACATTCACACGCTGCTGGCAACCCGCGAGTCCGCGGGGCGGCGAGGAGGAAGGTCAGGCCAGAGGGGACCTTCCTCCTCCTCCTCCTCCTTCTCATCGTCCTCATCGTCCTCATCGTCATCATCATCAGCATCATCATCAGCATCATGATTATCACCACCACCAACATCATCATCATCATCATCATCATCATCATCATCATCATCAGCATCGTCATCATCCTGATCATCATAGTCATCGTGATCATGGCCGTCGTCATCCCCCTCCTCACCCTCTGCATCATCCAACTCATACGCCCGTATCCTTCTCCTTGTTCTCCTCCTCCTCCTCATTCGTCTCTTCCCCCTCCTCCTTCTCCTCCTCATCCTCCTTCATCTCCTCCTCCTTCTCCTCCCCACCACCACCACCACCACCACCACCACCACCACCACCACCATCATCATCATCATCAACATCAACATCAACATCATCATGATCATCATCATCATCATCATCATCATCATAGTCATGATCATCGGCATCACCATCAGCAGCAGCATCAGCAGCAGCATCCTCATCGAGATCATCATCAACATCAGTATCAACATCATCATCACCAGAATCGCCATCATCGTCACCATCATCATCGCCGTCGTCGCCGACATCAGCGTCACCATAAATACTACTACCACCGTCACCACCAGAACCATCAGCATCAGCATCAACATTATCATCATTCACACACATACACACACGATGCTGGCGAGCACGCGAGTCCGCGGGGCGGCGAGGAGGAAGGCCAGGCAAGAGGGGAACAGCCTCCTCCCACTCTTCCTCATCAGCATCATCACAATCCTCATCATCAGCAGCATGAGCATCGCCATCGTCGTCATCATCAGCATCAGCAGCAGCATCATCATCAGCATCATCATCATCGCCATCATCACCACCATCATCACCATCAGCATCGTCGTTATCAGCATCATGCTCATCAATATCATCAGCAGCATCATCATCAGCAATCGTCATCGTCATCGTCATCGTCATCATCATCATCATCATCATCATCATCAATATCATCGTCGTCATCATCATCATCATCAAACGCATCACCAGCATCGTCAGCACCATCAGCAGCATTACTAGCATCGTCGTCATCAGCATCATCAACATCCTCCTCGTCAACAACATCACCATCAGTAACATAAGCATCAGCATCAGCATCAACATCGGCATCGGCATCATCAACATCATCATCGCCATCATAACCGTTATCCTAACCATCATCATCATCATCACCATCATCATTCTCGTCACCTTCACCATGATCAGCAGCAGAAGCGGCATCGTCAACACCATCGTCATCATCACCACCAACATCATCATCAACATCATCAACAGCAGCAGCACCATCATCGCCACCACCACCATCATCGCCATCAACATCATAATCATCATGACAAACATCGTCATCATCATCATCACCATCATCATCGTCATCATCATCATCAACATCCCCATCCTCGCCCCCTTCCTCCGTCTCCTCCCTCCCCTCCACTCCTTCCTTCCCTCCCTCCTCCCTCCATCCCTCACTCCCTCGTCCTCTTGAAGGGGGGAGCGGCGGCTAGACGGACACCGCCGCTCCTCCTCCTGAAGGCGCTTGCGCTTCAGCGCTGACTGCAGGCCCTCCAGCAGCACGAGCGTGCGCAGGCCAAGGTGGCCCGCGACGAAGACGGCGCAGCCGATCTGCATGCCGCTCACCTGAGCGACTAACAGAGACGGGTCCCACGCGAGATGGCATAGCGACCTTTCGCGGTGGATAAGGCGAGCCGCCAGCACAGCACGCTACATGGGAAACGAGGGCGCTTAGGCTTGGGTGTCGGATCCCTCCCCCCTGCGATACCATCTCATCCTCCTCCCTCTTGCGTCTCGCGCTCCCCTCCCTCACTCATCCCCCCCCCCTCCCTCCCTCTCCTCTCTCCTTCTCTCTCACTCTTCCTCTCCCATTTGATCCCGTCGCGCGGCGGTTGTCGTGCGTCAGTGTGAAACCTTCCCAATCCAGACCTGACTGATGGTGGCGGTGCCCGGCGGGGGGAGGGAAGGCTGGGGGGGGAGAGCACACAAGAACATCCCAAACACGATCATAGTGTTTTTCCCACCCACCAAGTTGGGCCGCTAGATTTTAAGAGCAGACCTCCCGACCCGTCCACTTTACATACCGCGGCCGCCAGATCCCCAGACTCCCGAATATCCCCGAGAATCCCGCCTCGTACCAGTCTACATACCGCGGCCGCCAGATCCCCAGGCTCCCGAGTATACCCGAGAGTCCCGCCTCGCGCCACTCTGTGTTCGGCGGCCGCCAGATCCTCAGCCTCCCGAGTATCCCCGAGAACCCCGCCTCGCGCCACTCTGCATACCGCGGCCGCAGATCCCCAGGTCCCCCGTGTGTCCCCGAGTGTCCCGCCTCGCGGCGACAAATCATAGCATAACAAAGTGGTAGTGTAACATAGCAGAACATCGTACAGTACAGCATGACAAGGTATGCCAGAATATCGCATACCATAACTCCACCTCACAGCCCATATACAAGCGTAACATACAACAGCATGGCATACCATGTCGCAACGTAATACATCATGAATGGCATGACATAGCATAACCTAACATACCGTGACATAACACACCACACCATGACACAGCGTCTCATCACATACACTAAGACAGACATCATCGCAGCACATGTGACGCATCATTGCATGACAGAGCGTGGCACAGTACCTACCAACATAGCAGCACATCACATACCATCCATCGATAAGCAATAACATACTGGATCATACAGAACAGGGCATACCACCACACCTCATAACATTACGCAACATAGCATACCATAACACACAATGGCAGACCATGCACTATCATAACACACCATGTCAGAGGAGATCACAGCGTAGGATATCATGACATCACGTACCAGTACATAACATGACACATCATACCATGACAACGCGCGGTATAACACACTATAACACCGGGTTGCTAATACTAATATATATATATATAGAGAGAGAGCAGAACAACATAGCACAACAACGCATACGAGTTCGTAGCATGTCACACCATGACATCACTGGACACATCAAATCAGCGCATGCAGTGGCATCATGGAACATGCAGAGCATAACATAATACCGCGAATCAGGACAACACAGGACAGAACACACCATAACATAGCACAACAGAGCATACCATGCCACACAATGACATACCATGCCATAACATAACACAGGATCGCAACATTTCATAACATGAAAACACATTCATCGCAACGTAATACATTGTACATATATTTAGCCGAACGCGACGTGCGCGCCGAGATCAGGCTGGCCACAGGAGCAAGCACGCGCAACAAAAAACGATCGGACGACGCATCTATCGTGACAGGCGTCACGGCGTCACTCCGGCCAGTCGAGAAGTTAAAAGACACAATTGAGCACAACGGCATACAACATTACCAATTCAACAACATATAACGAATAGAGCACACCGTAACCAGCATAACATAGCAGAAGTGCTGCACTAATGCTACCCCTTACGTCAAAGGCTTAGATATAAAAGACTTATCTATAAATTACAAATAATTTACAATATCGGCATGAGTGTATACCCTAGACAGCATACCGGGGAACAGCATAACATAACCTAGCTTGGCAATACATACGCAGCATGCCAGGACTTGCTGCCACAGAGCAGAGCATATCATATCATGTCAAATCATTCAATGACAGAGGTGAACATACAACAAACATATTTGAACATAAGGGAAACATAAGCTTGAAGAGGATCTTGATAACAGAACACAACGTACCATAAGCATAATCAAACGCGACGCGCGCGCCGAAGTCAGCTCGGCAACAGGTACAAACAGGCGCAGCAACGTCCGATCGGAAGACGTACCTAACGTGACAAGCGTCACGGCGTCACGCCGTCCCGTCGACAACATAACACATCATGTTGTAGCATCGCAGAATAGAGCCCTATCGAGCATAAAATTAGTGAACACGGTAAAATTATAGCAACGACGAACCAAGATCGCACTGCCAAACGCCGCACTAGCGCCTGGACACAGGAAAAAAAGGCGCGG